CTTTTCGGGGAAAAAATTTTTTGCAGCTCGTGTGTGAGACGGGCCGAGCCGAGCCATGTAATATACTAAAATTAGTCGTGGCCTAGTTTGTAGACGGCCAGTATCCATGTACACAGCTGATAAGCTCCACAACACTAAATGAAGTGTCTATGCAGAAATTTTCCCGAATTTTTGTACATGGTAAAAGGATCGTCGAAATAAGCATTCGTTCTCGTTGTTCTTCCACCATATGGTTTCTCTTCCTGCAATGAGAAATTCGTTGTTTGCTCGTCTTTCAGCCCCATTTCGGGAAAATTCCTGATTCCTCGCTGCTGCGTATTTCTTTTTGCCTCATTTCGAACTGTTCTGCCAGATACCGTAGCTCCTTAAATTACAAAATTTCTGTTTCTGCGTGCTTACTGTACAAGTGCAAATTAAAAATTTTTTGAAGCTTTTGCTGATTTTCTGCGAAGGGAAGTCAGTCATGTCGCCCAGTAGAATATATCAATTTTCTGCAAAACAAAATTAAAAAAAAACAGAAATTCGTGGGTACTTGACGTATGACTTGCCAGGACAGAGTAGGTAGTTAGCACTGCAAGTGCCTGTCGTCTTGCACTAGAATCTGTAATATAGATTTAGAACCTAGCAAATGTATGAAACTGAGAATCACCATGATATGTTTTGGTTCATTATTTCGTTCCTGTTTTTCAGATATGTAATGTTTCACCCCACATGCACGTCATAAATGCACTGGTAATAAAAATTTGAAATGAACTGGAAAAATTCCGCATCACTAGGCTTTTTAAGCGTTTTTTGCAATATGCAATGCAAAAATGCATATTGTCGAGGGATTATCTGTGTGTTCGTTTATACCAGTTTGTCATCTCGAGACCTACAAAAGCTATAAGGCTGAAACTTTGGGGACTTTATCTACACGCGCATGGGCTCCATCCCTGAAATAGGCTCTGTTACCTGCATGGTCCTCACGTGCGGGCTCGTCAATGTTTTTTGGCGGACAAGCTGCTAACTTGGGAACCAGAAAAGCTAGGAAGCTGTAATTTTAATAGGATGTTCCCCGTCCACTTACAATCTAACGATTTCGATTCAGCCCCAGGTGTGCGGTTTTGCCCGTGAAAACTTTTTAAAGGTAAGTTGGTAACTGGGGGACTTGAAAGGCAAAAAGGCTGTAATTTTAAGGGGATGTTCGCCGTTTCACATGTGTCTTGAAGAGTTTAAACTCAGCCCCAGGTAGGCATCGTACAGGTCTGTGAATTTTTTTACGGGTAATTTGCTAAGTAGAAAACCAGAAAAGCCAGGAAGCTGAAGTTTTAAGGGGATGTTTCCGGACAATACTGGTGGCCAGTTTCACTTCTTTTATCTCGAAACATCTGCCAGGAAAAACAGTGCCGTTAGCAACGAAAACTTGCGGGGAAAAATGTAAAGAACGCATCTTTGCACCGGCAGTCGGTGCGCTGGCCAATTATATATCTCTGTAAAAAGCACACTGGAATCGTAGAAACAGAATCTATTATCTCGAGTTTCTGCGGTGACAGCTGGAGCGCATTTCCTGGGTCTAAAACGGGTTAGGGCTCTAGCAAACTCGTATCTTCCGACATGCTAACGTTTATCCCAGTAGGCAGCTACACAGTCTATTGTAGTGGCTAAATTTAAAGCGCTTCAGGCTGTTTCTCGTGCATTTTGACAACTTTAGGTCGGACAGGACGCTTCTACATTATGGATGGATGGAGTGTGGGTAAAATTCATTCTGTATTGTAAAGGCAGTGTTGTGACTATCGCCTTATCTCTGCCACGGGCTGAAAATCCCACTTTTTCACTCCCATTTTTATGCGTTTTTGCCGTGCAGCGCTAAAGCGCTGCAACAGGCAGCAAAAACGCATATTGCA